TCACCGTCCCGTTTACCACCTGCTAATTCAGTCTCATCCAGCCCCTGTATGCACCCCTCCCAAGTGCCTCCCTCCACACACCTGCCATCCTAGCTTCACTCTCACATACCCCTTCCTGCCCCACTTATGCCTTCACCTCCCAGACAATGCACCCACACTTTCACTGAACCTACATTCCCTGCACTGGCAACCCCACCAATGGCTGAACTGGGTTCCCTATTTAACCCTACACACCTGCTCTCCTTTCACCACCCCCACACACATCTCCACTATGTAACTATTCACCGCTAGTACTCTCGCCTTACCAATCAGGCTGCACCCCCACCTGTCAACCTGTACTGCTCCCTTTCTATCCACTCCTTCATCTCCCCGACCTTTCTCACAGCTGCATCATTCCCCACAGCCCTGCTCACTCAACACTCTTCTGGATACTTTTTCCCTTTTAAGTCCCCTTTTACTCCCTGCTCTGCCAAATCTGCATTACTTTAGGCAGCCAAGTTATGGCTGCCTGTAATACACATCAATGCCTGAAAATGTTGATCCTTTTTACTGCAACATACACTGCAGAGAAAGTGGAAGTAACAACAATGATGAAACTGACCATATCTTGGGGGTAGTCATATGGTGCCACGTCTCATATCCATATATCCAAAAGTGTTTTGAAACCAGCAGATTCCATTAAAAAGGGGACAAAAAAGGGGACAATAAAAGCTCCGTGCATAACAAGGCGGTCTAAACACAATTAGCAATATAAAAAATACTACATTTATTAGTCACAATTGTTTATAAAACCATACAAAATTATTTTTTGTGATTCCTCTATCAATCATACACAATAGCACTGTTTCATATTAGCTTTCAAAGGAGTCCATATACAGTCCATAGTAGAGACTGGCACGTGATGTTCTTGTGCTATCACATAACTCCATGATGATGTGTTTGCAGCCTAGACTGCTGCTTTTTCAGGAACAATTTTCGAAACTATCTAAAATATACAACATTGGATAAAACATAATAATACATAATACTATCCAAGCAGGAACATATGTCACTTGAACCATATTTTTAAGACTAAGCCTTACCACACTTTTAAAAGTACATGAAAAAATGTCAGGCATATTTATAACCCCTAGCTACCATCAGATCACCAGCAGCAATGTCAGCTCTAAATTCTTCCCAGCCATAAAGGCGGGAATGGCGTAAGAACAGTGGACCATGCAGGGAGGAGACCAAGGCCTCAACCAGCAGAACACCACCAAACAGTCAGACTACAAAAATATAATAATTGAATGCAAAACATAGAATATGGCCTTATGTATCCTAACGCACAATACAGAACCACCTAAACGGGACTAACAAACACATCTGTACTTAAAAACGACACACCCCACTAAAGACTCACATCCAAAAATTCACTCGGCTACATACAGACTCCCATTAACACAAACCCAACAAAAACCACACTCATGAACCCACATACGAACCACAGACCCAAACAAACTATACTAGATCACCTCAACCCTCCTCCTCAACATACACAAACATAACATACACATAGCACTTTTGAAAAGTGGCAGTAAATAAAGCTCCTTTGTTGCAGCAATAGTAACCTCCAGCACTGTTGTTAGTAGACACAATAATAACTCCAGCATTGCCATTGGACATTATAATATACCCCTGCAATATCAGTCCTCAGTATTGGTGCTAGTGACAATAATAATAACCCCCAACATAGGTGCCAGTGATAGTGATAATAACCCCTAGCATTGGTGCCAGTGACCCCAGCATTGCAGTGATTGCATTAATAACCCCCATTGGTGGTCAGTGGTAGTGCTATTTAAACCTCCCTTTATTGGGAGTCAGTGCCTTTCACTCTGTGTTGGTGGTCAGTAGCAGTGCTGGTAACCCCCCTCATACTGTACACACACAGCAGTGGTCAGTGGCAGTGTTAATTAAACCATTCCCCCCTGCATTGGTGGTTAGTGGCAGTGCTGTTTGCCCCCCACATACACTCATTGTTGGTCATTGGCAGCAATAATTAACTCCTCCCCTTGCATTGATGATCAGTGGCAGCGCTGTTAACCCTCATACACACACTGCTTGTCAGTCAGTGGCAGTATTAATTAGCAAACTACCTATACCTCTCCCCCCATGTTGGTGGTGCAACCAACAGCCTATTTTTTCATCGGCATCAACGTGTATTAAAGTGAACCAGGGCCAAGCACACTCCACTGCTTATATACTTTGCATACATGCTGGGCACCACGCCTAGACTTTTGCATTTCTGAGCTGTGTGAGTGAATGATGGTCACATTGCACCCCCCCACACACACACATTCCCCTTACATGAAATTGTCCACCATTGTTACACATGACAGCTTCCTGCAACCAATGGTGGTTAAGGATGCCAGTGGGTGTAGAATCTATCAAGTTCTTAACAATCCATTATGGCACCTTCCCCATTCACTTACATGGTCAGTAGTCTCCGGCCATCTAAGCAAAAGAGCTGGGGATAGTTAAAAACAGCATGGGGGTTACTCTATACTTCATACTGGACCCTTCAGGTCTTGTGTGAATTTTAACTGAGACCCCAATCAAGAAGCAAAAAAAAGCAAGAGGTCCCCACAAATTCTATAAAAGACCCTTGGGGCCTGATATGCATTTTAAGGGGGAGCCGCATGCAAAAATTAAAAAATGAGTTTCCCCGCCTACTGAATTATACCAGGCCATATGCCTTCAGCATGAAAGTGTACCTTGCCAGGAGGTGACATCCAAGCAAAGCAGATTGTCCCTTATGTTTATGAAGGCAAAGGCTTCTTCCGTACAACCTTGGTCTGGTGATTGTGTGGGTCTGTGGGTGGGAAGCTTATCAGCATCTTAAAGCCCCATTTAACAATAGGGGGCCCTAGATAATGCCCCCCATGTGGATGAGTAAGGGCTACATAGTATCTTTACTCATTCACAAAAAATATAAATAGTAAAAAAAAAATACAAAAACTCAAAAAAAGCCTTACAATGTACATCCATTATCAATCATATTGTCTAGCTACTGTATGTAGATCCACGTCACGTTTTTTAAAAATGCCACCCTCTGACTAATGTCCGCTGCTATCGCTTCACTCCTACTGAATGGCAGGTCCAGCAGATGACAGTTGATATATACAAAGGGTGATATATTTGTCCATATAAGGACATGACCATATATGGTCAATTACATCACTGGGATCCCTGTGACATCATCAAAACCAACAGCACATTATGGCAGATTTACCTTTGTGTTTTCCCTCCTCCATCATTGACAGATCAGAGATGTCTCTTGCTGATATATCATCGCCACCACAATATTCTCTGATTCTTCTTTCAGGTTTAGCATCCCTCCTCTACAACCATTGGGCAGCCACTGAAGATGTAACTGCTGCCATTCATGGTGGAGTTACATTATCTTGGTACCTGGTTCTTTGTATCTTAAAGATACTGGAAATGGGTCAGAAGTGTAAACTGTGCTGTGCATGTGTCACAGGCAGTGTACACTACAAGAAAAGTACTAGGAAAGGGTGTTTTTTTCCAAAAAAGACATGCAAAGTCTTTTTGCAGGTAGGTTAGAAGGGTGGAAAGGGTTAGGATAGGTATTGCCCAGCAAGCTGTACAGTTGACAATTGTGGTTTGAAGCATCCATGGGTGTGCTAAATATACAATATAAGTGAAAAGGCATAGACCTGGGGCAATCCCAAGGCAAGGTAAGCCCACAAGATTTCTTTATTACAGCAAAGATCATCATGAAAAATACAGTAATGTACAACAAACCAAACTTAATCTTTTCCTAATCTGAGTGCATTAAAACAAATCAGATTGTCCCACATGTGATGTGAACGATGTCTGCATTATACACATTTACACAACATATTTGCAATCCATTAACACTCGTTGACTGGAAAAATGTTATTAGCTGTTAGCATCCAAAATAAGTGTCCGCACATGGTTTCATTGAGAAAAAAAGGCAGTTGTTCATCAGGGGGTCAATAAGCAAATACTCCAGATCCAATTTACAATAATAAAGGTTAGGTAGTAAATTCTCGCAACTATTTTTGCTTTCGCGCTGTGACTTTTTTTTCACGGTAATAATAAGTGATTCCACACATTGCTGACTGCTTATACGTATCTGTGGCTTCAGCCAGTCGCCAATTCACATACTAATATACAGGCTTACATTTGTCTTCCTGAATTGGGCATTCATGCAACAGGAAATAGGACAGAGGAGACTTCATGAAGTGAGCCAATTGTGTTTACACATACCTGGGCAAGAAAAAGCAATCCATAAATGTGGATATGTGTATATTTTTCTTTCAAAGAACGTTTGGCCTAACTACATGGGTACACATTTCCAGTGACAGGTCAGCTGACAAAATTCATCATTGTGATGTGAGATTAATTTATGATTAGCCTGGTTAACTTGTAGGCAGTTTATTAACTCTGCAGCATAATAGCACATTACACCTAACTCTATGTTTGACAGCACAGTGAATGGATACATTGTGTGAATTGTTAGCAATTGCTTTTGGTATATAAATCCTTTGCCTCTCCTCTGTTTTCTTCTGTAAGGGTTTACTATGCTTAAACAAACCACATTGAGTTAACGGCACTTAATTTAATGGATCATTATAATAGTTCTTGCTCAATGGATAGGGTTTATGAGTTCTCTTACCGCTTTAGAATGTGTTTTTTCTTGTTAAAATACAAAATAAGTATGCTTTTCTCTCTCCAAGCCCACAATAGTTCATTCAGGTGAAATGCATACAGTATTTGTTTAAGACAAAATATGCCAGTATTTGCCTAATGTAGTATGTCTAAAAATACAAATATTTTATATATATATATATATATATATATATATATATATATATATATACACACACACAGTGCTCAGCATAAATGAGTACACCCCAACAGATTTGCCAGAAAACCTTCACTATCCTTTCAGAACAGGGGCAGACTGACAACTCATGGGCCCCCCGGGCAATAGGGGATCATGGGGCCCCTGTGTCCTTGCCCAAACTCAAAAAGCCTATGAAAAAGGTATGAAAAGTACAAAATACTCCCACAAATGCAGGACATTCATTGCAAACAAGATTTGTTAATTTGCACACACACAAAAAAATATTTTTTTTAACAAATTCATTCAAGACCATGTTGCAAAAATGAATACAGTCCAATGATGAAATCCTAATTAACAAGAATTCACCTACAGGTGAGTCTAATTATTCATTAAAGAGGTGTCGAGCAGACAGGTAAAAGGGTGTTATCTAATCCCCTTCCCAATTCATGCTGTCAGCAATGGCACCACATGGAAGAGAAATGTCACAAGGCTTGAGAAAGAAAATAATTTCTTTACACAAGAAAGGTGAAGGCTAAAAGAAGATCAGCATATCAGTCAAGATGCTGTAGTAAAAGTGAATTTAAAAAATTTAACAAAGATGGAACTGCAACCATCTCACAGAGATGTCCATGCCATCAACAGACGTCAACACCTCGACAAGAGTGTCTTCTGATAAGGGTTGAAGAAAATCTCCACGCAAGTTCACTAGGTTAGCTAAAGAAGTAGAAAGCCAAATTGGGGTGATTGTTTCCCATGACACAATACAGCATACACTGCAGGAATGGCATGCATGGGTGTCGTCCCCGAAGAAAGCCTTTCCTAAAGCCCATGCACAAAAAAGCCAACCTAGAATTTGCCTGGGCCCATGCTGAAAAAGAAGAAGACTACTGGGACTCTGTACTCTGGAGTGATGAGCCAAGATAAATGTTTTTGGAACTGATGGCTACAAAAACTGCATGGTGTCATAAATAAAAATGTATGGTGCCTACAGTGAAATGTGGTTATGGCAGTGTCCTTCTGTGGGGCTCCATGAGGGCTGCATGTGTCGGGAAACTGTATTTCATTGATGGTATCATGAATTCCCACATGGTGGTAGCAGTGTCCTTCTGTGGGGCTCCATGAGGGCTCTGGTGTCGGGGAGCTGCATTTCATTGATGGTATCATGAATTCACATATGTACTGCTCTATTTTGAAGGAGAAGATGCTACCATCACTGTTGCCCATGCCCTTTTTCAACATGACAATGATCCTAAACACACATCTAAGGCCACTGTTGCATATCTGAAGAAGAACAAAGTGAAAGTGATTCAGTGGCCAAGCATGTCTCCTGATCTGAACACAATTGAACATCTATGGGGAATTCTGAAGAGACAAGTTAAGCATCACTCTCCATCCAACATCCAGGTTCTAAAAGAGTTCGTTCTTGAAGAATGGAAAAAATAGATGTGGTAATATGTTGCCAACTTGTTCATTCCATGCCTAGAAGACTTGGTGCTGTCCTTACAAATCATGGAGGTCAAACGAAATACTTGATGTAGTAGTTTTTGTTGTGGGGTTTATTCATTTTTTCATTTCATTCATTCATTCATTCATTCACGTATATCAGGCCAATTGCCCCTGCCGGCTTCAAAGCAGTTGCATGAACTATCAAAACTTAGAACAATGCTACAGACCATTGTTACTTACTTATTCCCACAGAAAAAAAGAACGAGAGAGCAGGGTTAAGGCCTGTGATAGAGTTACTAGGACTGTGCTTTTCATATGATATGACATTTCTACAAAGTAGGATGCCCTTCACTATCCACCCTTGTGGTTCTGTCAGGCATATTCACTGTAATACTCATTAATCAGCTATAAATGTGCCACTACGATCCTTTTGTCTGTGACTGCATTTCTGTGTACCCAACAAAGGCCCCGGCCTCAGTCTGCATGGCTGCTAGGGTGGCACTGAGCCACTCTCATCAATGATGTTGTTGTCAGTAACACATTCCTGTGTATAACAAAATGTTGCAGTCTGTCACTTTGTTAACAGGTTTAGTCCAGCCTGGTCCTCATTGGTCCTGTCCCTGAATTGGTCCTGTCTCTGTTATTTTAGAATATTGTCCTGTATCTTTTGCAGTTTTCCATATTTTAAGTCTTCACCTTCCAGGTGCACAGGCGCAGAATGTGCAAAGCGCCTCTTTCAACATCTTTGCCATCACCATTGGCATGTGGCCCAGTGTCCGTGATACCAATGCTATCCAGTTGACTAGAGGGGGATGGCACAAGAGAGTTGATCAAGGGTCAGAAAGTAGTGGAAATCCTGGGCTATGTCTTAGACAGGACATACAGTATATAGAAGGATGACGGAATGCTGATTAGTCTATGAAGTACCTTAGATCACTGCAGACAAACCACGAGGAACTCCATTAGAGGAAAAGGCTGTCTCTTGGACTGCAGTTTTTCTGCTTATACTCAGTTGAATTCTTGTGTTAAACCAGTATAGATGCATATTACCATCAGAAGAAAATATCTTTCTGCAGTCTAATTATTTGCCAATGTCAAAACAGTCTATATTCTATGGCCAGCGTTAGTTGTCTAAAGGTTGTTTTTGGCAGTGATTCATGTAACGACTTGATTCCCAGGCAGCTGGACACTTTGCACATGCCTGCTGCCAACCTGTAATTAGCACCCCCTTCGCAAATGAATGACTCACAAATGCTGGATTTGATAGCATGGAGCTTTACTGCACAAGATTCACAACACTTTGTAACACATGATCAGATATCACATACACAGCTTCAGAAACCACAGACTGGTTGCAAGATGACTAATGCAGTACAATATTCCTAATACTGTGAAGCATGTTTATTAATCAAGGGACAGTCTTATAAAACCCTCTACATCCTATTTATATATACACTCGCCTGGCCACTTTATTAGGTACACCTTGCTAGTGCCGAGAAAATATCCCCCAAACTATTATACCACCACCATCAGACTGAACCATTGATACAAGGCAGGATGGATCCATGCTTTCATGTTGTTTATGCCAAATTCTGATCCTACCATCTGAATGTAGCAGCAACCAGTCTGCCTATTCTCCTCTGACCTCTGACATGAACAAGGCATTCTCATCCACATGCTGCTGCTGCTAACTGGATAATTTGTCTTTTTCAGACCATTCTCTGTAGACCCTAGAGATGGTTGTACGTGAAAATCCCAGTAGATCAGCAGTTTTTGAAATACTCAGACCAGCCCGTCTAGCACAACAACCATGCCACGTTCAAAGTCACTTAAATCCCATTTCTTCACCATTCTGATGCTCGGTTTTAACTTCAGCAAGTCATCTTCCCCACATCTACATGCCTAAATGCATTGAGTTGTTGCCATGTGATTGGCTGATAAGCAGTTTGTGTTATCAAGTGATTGAACAGGTGTACCTAATAAAGTGGCCGGTGAGTGTATATATATATATATATATATATATATATATATATATATATATATATATATATAAATAATGCACACAAAATTTAGGAGATTAGGAAGCCCACCTTTGACTTCTCAGTAGGAAAAGCGTGGGGTATCAATTCAAAATATATGCCCACTTGGTTAAGGAAACCCCGACACTGACTTGGTTCACCCCCAAAGCGCTGTGAAAGGGGGGCTGAACCAGTCATACCTCTGGGCTCCGCAGGTGCGGCAGCAGATGCAGAGGTAGGCGCAACAACCTGGAGCAACAACGGGAGCGACCACAGGAGTGACAACCGGCCTAATAGCACCAGGAGCAAGGTGCGCTGTGCGTGCAAGCAGCGTCTGCAATGCCTGATCGAACTGAGCCAACAAGAGATCCTGCTGATCAAGTCTGGCAACCAACATAGGGAGCGGAGGCGTACCTGCACCGTCAGGATTCATGGCATTCGTGTAGTGTCAGTGAGCGAAGAGCCAGACACACAAGGAAGGTTTATTAATATAAAAATAAGACAAGAGTCTATGCAAGTCCAAGAGCGGAAATCGTAGCCAAAGCCGGGGTCAAGAGCCAGGAAGAATTGTCGCCAGAGCCGGGATCAGGAGCCAGGAAGAATCGTCGCCAGAGCCGGGATCAGGAGCCAGGAAGAATCGTCGCCAGAGCCGGGATCAGGAGCCAGGAAGAATCGTCGCCAGAGCCGGGATCTGGAGCAAGGAAGAATGGTTGCCAGAGCCGGAGTCAGAAGCCAGGAGTCTCCAAAGCTGAGTCGGTATCCAGAAAAGCAATGAGTAGCTAAACAGGAGCTTGCTGTTGTGCAACAGACAGGACATGAATGCAATGGACAGCCACAAACAGCAGACTTATATGTGATAAGCTGCCACCTCCTGGGGGAGGAGCCGCAGGAGGCTGAAAGCATAAAGGATCCCACAATGCTTTGCAGACACCTAAGATGGATGCCAGCACATGGAGCAGCACAAGGTCTGAGGAAAGGTAGGACCTTGACAGAAGGCCACTGACATTTGTTTCCCTACTCATCTTTTCTGACTGTTTTTCACTAGTTTTGCATTTGGCTAGGGTCAGTGTTATTACTGGTAGCATGAGGCGATATTACCTGGACCCTACAGAGGTTGCACAGGTAGTTTAACTCCTCCAGGATGGCACATCAATACATGCCATTGTGTCAGGGATGCGGGTGTGACCAGAAGTGTGTGGACTGACACAGGGAAACGCAAGCTTCAGATATGGTATAAATAAGACAATTTATTAAAGACTAACAATACAAACATAAACGCAGTGCACCAAACCCCAAGCTAACACAAATACATACAAGAAGGTGAAACAAACCCAAACCTAAACTCATACAGATACACAGGTACATACACATAAAGAGCACAACGTAGTCAGGCAGGCAGGTACAGGAGGAGCAGGCGGAGAGAATGGTCAGGGTCACAAGCCAGGGATCAAAACAGGAGAAGTCAGCAGAGGTCAGGATCAGGCAGGGTCGGCAACAAGTCAGGCAGAAACAGGAACAGGAACGCAGGTTACAAGATACAGGGCTCATGGAAAAACACACACCAAGGCCCAGGCTGCAGATCTGGCCATCCCTTAAATACACCTGCAATCAGCCCCAGGTGATGGCTAATTGCCGAAGTGAACCTCTGGTTGTTGAGAGCACCCGCTGGCCAGCCCTGGTACTACAGCCCACAAGGCAGGTGAGTCCCACCACTATTGGCAAAGTCCATTCCTGAC